TGTCATCATCATCAATTCTACCTCCCAAACTGGAAAATAGGACCCTAAATCAACTGCTACTGGTCAATTTAAGAAGGATTAGCTGGGATGGCCTTAATAAGACTTCTACATGTAGATGAGTTATAATTAATATAGCAGCCACAAAAGCACATAATACCAAATTACCTTCCATGGTGTCATTAAATGCTGGAACCTTCATTTTGGCAGGGACTACTGTCAGGTGAGAATGAGGATCATCTTGGAAGTTGTCCTTTTCCAAGGCATCTAGTTGTCTCTTCTGGCGTCTTTTACGTGTTGCACTGTCAAGAATTTTCCTACTTGAGATGTCCCTGATTCTTCCTAATGGTATCAACAGAACATATTTATTAATTATACAATTCAGTCCTCTCTGATCTTTCACTCTCTTAATTTTACTCCCATTATGACTGTACAGATATGCAAACTTCTGAAAGTAATCTATTCTGAAAACAACCCTCCTCAATCCACACCACTCTCCTCCCCCACCCTGTTAGGAGGGAAGGGGGAAGTCCTCAGTCTGAGTTGCACATCACAATTTCAGAAGGTTTGCACATCACTGTCAGAATTTCATCCAAGGCCACTGATAATATCAGAAATATTTAAGTCTGTAACATGTTCTAGTTAGTAGCTGGGTTGCCAAAATATTCTATCCTAGGATGACTATCAGCCAAATTTAATAGTTAAACAAAGTATAAGATGGAAACAAAGGGAGAAGGGGAAAATTAAAATCTGCAAAGGCTGTTTCACTTTGTCCAGAAATCACTGTTTGATTTTAAAACCTCTAATGTCTATGCCCATTTTCTTTTCTCTTTGTCACAATATTTTCATAGGAGTGGTCTAATCATTCTTTGTCAATTCAGTCCATCATGTCACCATTTCAGAGCCATGTCAACTGTCAGAATTTACCCTATCAGAGCCTCATACATGTATATGCAAAAAAAAAAATCGTTATATGATAAGCCCCAAGTCCCATTTGGGTTTACTTTATATATAATTTTCTTCAGTTGCACACCCTAATTCTGCAAAGCTTTAATTTTCATTTCTAAGCCAATTTGAATATTGCTGCGTGTAGCATGGTTTGTTTGTAAGCTTCTTTGTTGTTTCATAAGTCATGATTTGAGATCACTGATGTCAACTCGCTGACTTCTTGAAGCTGATGAAGAAAATCGAGATTGACTGATTGCATGATAAATTGGTCGACACTTTTTTGTCCATCACAACTTCTTGCAACACAATCAGAACTTCTGATACCAATGTGGCCATTCATGGATCGCAATAATTAGCTGGTGGCGAGAGTTTTTTGCCACCATATCATACTACCTTGTTTACCACACATTCCTCGATTGATTGAAATAAATATACACTTCAATAAGGACGGATTTAAAAGCCTTAAAACAATGCAAAATACAGAAAAAAGGCCATACCAGACTCGCGGCGGTCCGCCATCTTGAAAATGACTAGTGCCAGCTTCTCTCGGGTTTGTGTTTTACGCCTGGCGGAAATTGCCATCATGGCTTTGAAGCGCGAGGTTCAGCACAAAGTTACGCGAGAAAACTGGTTCGAAAATCACCCAAAATTCAACGAAATACAGTCATACGGATAC